GTGCAGGCCCAGTCTCTGTCAAAAACACATGCAGAGATACGGCGGGCGCACACCCACACACAAGACGCAATACTCGCAAATCCGCCGCCACTTTGACTGGGTTTTTGACAGGGATGGTTGGGGGGGGTCGACATATTGCCCAATGCGGCGCACGTGGTGCGCGTGGCGCACCTGGCATGTGCGGCGCACCTCGCGGGTGCCGCGCACATGGCTGTCGCCTGCAGAGGTCGCCACGGGATAGTTCTTCTTCCTGAGGGCAAGCGAATACGTGGCGGGTGACCAGAACGACTACACGGGCAAGAAGGATCTGCGCAGGTCATGGCGAGCTGTGCGAGAGCACGTCAGCAGCTAGCAAGGTGGTCATCAAAAGCCGAGCCAGCAAGACGGACCAGTACAACCGGGGCGCGACGGATGCAGTCGACGGTGGAGGAAGAGGAGAAGGCGGGCAGGCATAGGTGCGCTTGTGCGTGGTGGAGGCCCTGACCCTGTAAGAAGTGCGGGCCAAGGAGAGGTTCACTGGATGTAGGAAGTACGACCCGCCCTTCGCAAAGTCTGACGAGCACCTGGTTACGAGGGCCGACGTCCAGAGGATCGCGATGCAGGCGGCGGTGGTGGAGGGAGTTGACCCGAACGACCTCGGATCGCACAGCTTGAGCATAAGTTAAGAGGGGCGACGGCGCTCTACGCCGCATTCCAAGGACACGTCACTGGTGCACTGGTGCAGCGCGAGGGTCGTTGGAAAAGTGATGCATTCCGAGTCTTTGGCGAGGGATGTGGCCGATGGGGTGGCGAGCAGGACGGCGGAGGTGGACTTGACAAGAGCGCGATTCTTTATTTTCGGCGATGACGGACGTCATGGGGGGGGGCCAGGGGTGGAATGACGTAACGCCCCCCCCGCCGCGGTGTGGCTCCGGCACCACAGCCGCGCCCGCGGGCACGACGACGATGAGCGACGATCGACGAACGACGAGCGAAGACGACGCGAGCAACACGTACGTGGCGATCTGCCCCACAGCGCCTGTGTACACCACAATGCTCGCGTGCACCACAGCGAGCGTGTGCATCACAGCGCCTGCGTACACCGTAACAGCCGTGTGCAACGCAGCGCCTGTGTACACCACAGTGCTTGCGTGCACCACAGCGCCGGTGTACACCACAGCGAATGCGTACACCGCAGCAACCATGTGCAACACAACGCCTGTGTTCACCACAATGCTTGCGCGCACCGCAGCGCCTGTGCACACCACAGCGCCTGTCTACACCACAGCATCCGCGTGCAACGCAGCGCTGGTGTACACCACAGTGCCTGCGTGCACAGGACAAATAAAAGGAGCATGCAGGTGAGGATCTGCTGCGGACGTCGGCAGTGCCCGGAGCGCACTGGGGAGGCAGCGTTACGTCATAGGGGGGGGCCATGACGCTCGTCATGCCCCAAGCAATAAAGAAACACGCTCCAATTGTCTGAGGAATGCGGAGGGGAAGTGCGCTGGGGCGTGTGCGGAAGGCAATCCAGCGCAGAGGAGGAGAGGACGAGCAGTGGCCGTGGCCTTGACGGGATTCAGAGGAGATGCTCATCCCTCACCGCATAACATTATTAGAGGAGCGCAGAAGTGGAGAGGAGGTGCCGTGGCGGCGGCCTTGACGGGGTGCAGCGGGGTATCCGTCCTGCATGGAGAGGAGGTGGTGCCGTGGTGGCGGTCTTGACGGGATGCAGTGGGATACAGGTCTCCCATGAGGGGAAGACGAGGTGCTGCAGCGGCGGCCTTGGCGGGAAGCATGGGGTGCCCCCCACCCTCCTATCCTCGGCGACAGTGCGGAATAGGAGCGCTGGGGGAGGGGCTGCCAGTGCGGCGCCGCAGTGGGAGCAGGCGAGGGCCGTGGCCGTGGCTCCCGGGGGGGCGGCCTGCGGCGAGGCGGAGGCGATCGTGCTGCAGGGCGAAAGCCAGAGCACGGCGGGGGGAAGGCCAGTGAATCAGAGTACTGGCCCTGGGGGGGGGAGGCACTGAGGGGATCAGTATCAGGTCGGGCATCTCCTCCTTACAGGCTGACTCAGGAAGAAATATTCTTGTAAGGAATAAGAGAAAGCAACAACCAAACATAGCCAAAAGAGCACGACAAAAACGTCCCCATACGATGTTCGAGCTATTCTCGAATATTCCTTCTGTAGAGTGACGTGCCCGATTGAAGGTTGGCACGCTGAGGTGCTGCCCCGGGGGGAGGGCTACCAGGCGGCGCGCCCTGCCGGGCCCACCGCCGCAGGAGCGGCAGCGCTGGGATCAGCGCGAGCGAGGCGCTCGTGATGAATGATGAGTCCACCGGAAAAACACACAAAACACACACACACACACGCAATCACAAACAAACTTTTTCGTCAGCGGCGAGGCGGCGAACTCCGCTCCAGCGAGAAGCTAGCTAACACACACACACACAAACAAACAAACAAAGAAACAAACAAACAAACAAACAAACAAACAAACACACAAATCACACACACACACACACGCACGCACAAACAAGTGTGTGTGTGGCTATCCGCCAGCACAGTTCCTCTGCCGAGCCGCTGGCGCAAAAGTGTGTGTGTGTGTGCGTGTGCGTGTAATGTGTGTGTGTGTGCGTGTTTGTGTGAGTGCGTGTGTGTATGTTTGTGTGTTTGTGTGTGTGTGCGTGCGTGCGTGCGTACGTGTGAGCGTGCGGGGGTGCGTGCGTGCGTGTTTGTGTGTGTGTGCGTGTGCGCGCGCGTGTGTGCGTGTGCGTGCGTGCGTGCGTGCGTGCGTGCGTGCGTGCGTGCGTGCGTGCGTGCGTGCGTGCGTGCGTGTGTTCGCGTGTGTGCCAGTGCGTGTGCGTATGCGTGCGCATGTGCGAGTGCGTGTGCATGTGCGCGTGCGCGTGCGTGTGCGTGTGTGCGTGTGCGTGTGTGCGTGTGCGTGTGCGCGTGTGCGCGCGTGTGCGTGAACGTATGCGCGTGCGTGTGCGCGCGTGCGTGAACGTGTGCGCGTGCGTGTGCGTGTGCGTGCGCGTGTGCGTGTGCGTGTGCGTGTGCGTGTGCGTGAACGTGTGCGCGTGCGCGTGCGCGTGTGCATGCACGTACGCGTGTGCGTGTGGGCGTTCGCGTGCGCGTGCGCGTGCGCGTGTGCGTGTGCATGTGCGTGTGCGTGTGCGTGTGCGTGTGCGTGTGCGTGTGCGTGTGCGCGTGCGTGTGCGTGTGCGTGTGCGTGTGCGTGTGTGTGTGTGTGTGTGCGTGTGCGTGTGCGTGTGCGTGTCTGTCTGTCTGTCTGTCTGTCTGTCTGCCTGCCTGTCTGTGTGTTTGTCTGTCTGTCTGTCTGTGTCCGTGTATGTTTGTATGTGCGTGTGTGTGTGCTATTTTGTGTATATTGTGTGTGCGATGTTCTACCATTCCCTGTCATCAGGTCGGGCATGTCCTCCCACAGGCGTTTGTGTTGGACGACGCGTGTTCTAAAACCAAAAGACCAACCGTCCCCAGACGATTTGTCCTACCATTTATGAACCTTTTTTTTCTCACTCACCTGAATGTGCTGGACCCTGCAAATGGGCGACGCTGGTACTTCTGGGGGCAATCGCGGATCAGATCTCCACCAGCCATCCACGACCGAACTCATTGCTGAGGATCCTTCACGGTCCTCCTTCTGCTCCCGCTTCCCGACCACGCCCCCCCCCCCGCCCCCCCCCCCCCCCCACCCCACCCCCCCAACCCCCCCGCCCGTAGAGGAGCATGCCCGACTTAACCCTGCCCTTTCTCCCTCTGCCTCGCCTGGGCGGTCTGCGCGCGCCGCGCGACCCGCTGGCTCTCGCAGGCGGAGGCGCTCGGGGCAAAACGCCTAAGCAACCCGCCCCGACATTGCCCTCCTCCTCCTCCTCCTCCTCCTCCTCCTCCTCCTCCTCCTCCCCCTCCTCCTCCTCCTCCTCCTCCTCCTCCCCCTCCTCCTCCTCCCCCTCCTCCCCCTCCTCCTCCTCCTGGCCTCCTGGGAGGCCGATGCCCTCGTCGCCACCGCTGGAGCTGCCTGGGAGTCTGGCACGATTTTTCATCCCGGATCGCTCTCTGACAGCCCGGGGGACCTGAGACAGCCCCCGCAGGCCGAAAAGGACTAGAAAAACCTCTGTCGCGGCCTGCTCGAGCCGCCGGAAGTCTGGGCCCTGGGGACCCCGCTTAGGCCCCCGGATGCCTCCCAGGGGGTCCCAGGGGCCTCTGGAAACCCAAGGAGCCAACAACCTCCGAAAGCCTTAGTCCTCGGTCCTCGAATCTCGATCTCCTGCCCTCCCATCCCCTCCCCTCACCTCCCCTCCCTCATCTCCAGACCTATCCCCAGGGTGCGTTTTGCCCAGCATGTCGAAGCGGATCGAGCCGCGGCCACTGGGGCGCCCCAGGAAACCCCAGGAAGCCAAAAAACCAGTCAAACACATCGAACTTCGAACCCCCCGCGCCGACAACGCCGACGCCGCCGACAACGCCGACGCCGACGATAGCGGCGACGACGCCGACGCCGACTCCGACGCCGACGCCGACGACGCCGACGCCGACGCCCACCCGCCGCCGCCGCCGCCGACTACGGCGACGACGACGCCGACGCCGACGCCGACGCCGACGCCGACGACGACGACGACGACGACGACGACGCCGACGACGACGACGACGACGACGACGACGACGACGACGACGACGACGCGGGGGGTCGGCGGCCGGCGGTCGCGGCCGCCGGCGACGACGATGGCGGGTAGCGGCGCTCCAGCTCGGGCGGCGCCGGCGACGTGGCCGTCGTCGTGGTGGCGGTGGCGACGCGGTCCTCGATGGGCCTGTCTTCCACCACCATGACCATAAGTTGGAGGGGGAGGGGGTCCTCCTCCTCCTCCTCCTCCTCCTCCTCCTCCTCCTCCTCCTCCTCCTCCTCCTCCTCCTCCTCCTCTTCGTCCTCCTCCTCCTCCTCGTTCTCCTCCGCCTCCTTCCCCCCTCCAACTTATGGTGGTGGTGGTGGAAAACAAGCCCATCAGTCCTCCTTCCCCAGCGGCACCGCCCCCGGCGGCGCCGACCAGCTTCTCACGAGCGACGACCATATCCATATCACCGATCAAAACGCTCGTCTTGCACACATGGCGACAGGAGAATTTGTGTTGCAGTTCTGCGGAGCCTCTGGGGGCCCTCCGCGGGCCTCGTGACCGTCAGAAACAGTCCGAGAAGAGAAACCGGTTCCGGGGAACGGGTCTCAACCGTGGAAGTCGACGTTGCGAAAGAACCACGGCATCGGGATGCCCGGGGCCACGCCCTCGCGGTCCGCGTACCGGGGCGATCCTGTGGATGCACGATCTTTCGGGTACGTGCCGCGCGGGCGCAGGGCATCCGCGCAAAGCCCCACCTTGCTCGTGGCGTCGCGGCAGAGGGCTCCCGACCGCGGGGCAATGGAGACATGGACATGTTCCCTGCTCACAACCTATGCCACGGCGGCAGCGTGGTCTTCGTGAGGATGTGCTGGAGCTCGTTGACGTGCTGCCGAACCTGGGGAGGCCATTCTCTGCGTTTCGTGGCAGGCGCAAAGGGGGCGTCCCGCCGACGCGCCCAAGCCAAGCCCCTGTCGCGGGCGCACGCACCGCGCCGAAGACGCCGTACCCCCCCCCGCCTGGTGAGCCGACGAAACGGGGTTGACCTCTTGCTGGAGGGCAATCTCGGCGGAAATCATGAATCGCAGGAGTGACAAAACGACTGTTCACCCTGAGTCCAACAAAACTAGCATGTCCGATGTGGGTGTAGTGAGAGGCGTCCGTTTCCGCCCAACATTCGTCGGGGTTTCTACTGGTGGATGCCACCATGATGTTGTTCCCGTTGGCCTTCCGTCACCTTGCCATCGCTCGGACGTCCATTCCCCGTGCATGTTTCGGTTTCGTGCGTGTTCGTTGTGCTAAATGATCCAGGATGCTCCTCGATGGTCCTCGCCGAGAGGAGAAGCACACGTCCGAGCGATGCCAAGCCACTGGTCCGCCGAAGAAGAAAATATCTCAGTATCTCCCGATCCCCAGAGGGCGAGGCCCTTACTGGAATGTTCTAAACAGACCGGATACAAAGCAGTCGGGCGAAACGCCGACCAAACGAGACCTCGCGCGCCACCCGTGGGTAGCGCGTGCTGCAGAACCCGAGCGGGTTCAATCGCGCTTTTCCCGCAGCTGGTCTGTGGGGGGAGGAAGCGAGGAGGAGAAAGAGGAGGACAAGGAGGAGAGGAGAAAGAGGCGGACGAGGAGGAGAGGGAGGAAGAGGAGGAGGATCAAAGTAAAGCCAAGATGCGCCAACCGATGCTGCCTCAAGTCTCCTCCCCATGAGCCTATACAAGTTTCCACTGCGGGCACCCTCCTTGGATGCCGAGCGGTTGATCGGTCCGTTGTAAAGGATCTTCCCAGGATTTGAAAGACACCCAAGGTAGCCCCACTCTGATAAGCACACGCCCCCCATCCCATCTCAGCGTTGCGAGATGTCAGTCGCGGACGTATGCCCCGCGGAAGTCCCACGCGACAGCCCTTCAAGGAGGCCAAAGGCGAGCCTCGTTGTGATTATGAGAAGTCTTCAGCGTAATGGCAAAAGAGCCCCTTGAGGTCAAACGGCAGCGAGTGGCGCGCTGTCACACGTGACGCAAGTTCTATGTATCACGCCCGTGAGCTTTGTCACGAACTAGTCGGTGGATCGCGTAGTCACGCTGATCCCTGTTAACCTCTGGAGGCAGCATGCAGAGTATCCCCAGTCGGGATAGCAGTCAAGGTATTAAAGAACCGGCCATGGGGAAAAGGTCGACCAACCATTTGGGTCAAGTGTGCAGCTAAAGCTCCAAATCCCCGCCAGCAAACGGCGGACAAATCGAACCCCCCCTGGCCAGAAACGACGGCACGCACGAGACCCTATCGGCCACGCGGCGGGGACAACAAACGGCACACTTACCTGCCGGATAGTCACATCACTTCAAGGTGCGCAGTAACATCACTTCCCTGCCGGGATAGTGTTCACTCTGGCCCTCGCCAGTTGCTTCTTTACCCCCTTCAAGGTCAACTCTGGGTCTGGAGCTACACCATACGATCCTGCACACAGTATGTTAAACCGAAAATCAGCAGGCATGGTTGTTGTAAGACAGTCCACAGCCACTACTCTCGTGTCAATCCAACGGATTTTATCACAAAACAATCGTGGATGCAATATTTCGACTTCTCCATGACCATTGGTCATGTCTTGCCCCAGACTCTTAGATCTACACTTAACCGTTTGTCTTCTGCGTTACCCAAAATAGGCGCTATCAAATGTTCATCGAGGGCTTGTACAATCAGTCATCCTCAAGTGTCTCATTGTCACAGCTGCCTTTCCCCCCCAATTGGTCGGCAACTGACGTCCGGCGCCAGCATGCCCCACGCGTCGGCGATGGCAGCGCGAATGCGCGCACCAGACTCCACACCCCATAGAAATGCCAGTGTCTCTGCTTGAAGCGTAGACTTACATACTCGTCTGATGACCTTACTTGACACACATATAGGGTGAACATTGTCGCTGTTCCCCTCGATGAATCCCGGACCGGCAAGTCCGCTGAACCTGGTCCTCTGGGACCTGAGCGGCTCAATATTTCCCTTGACCATATCATCTTCACTTGCCCAGCTGCACCTCCTTTGAATCTCACAACACTGCACCTCCTTTGAACGTTAACCCACGATCTGCGGACTGCGTGGCTTCCTCCAGGACACGATTGGCCTCCTCGAGGTGGAGCACCTTCGCGTGACTCACTGCAGTCTGGAGGCGGCCCACGCGATACAGCATTGCAGGTTTGCACTGCCGCGTGACCCATGGTAAAGAGCATCCGGACCTGACCTGAGCTGAGATATCTCTCCTTCGCTACAACTCCTGGAGAGAGGGTTGCCCCTGGGATAAGATGTATCTTCGATTTTCTCAATGTTATCCATAGCCGATATACTGACGGCAAAATCTGCGTCTTGAGCAACTGCCCGCCCGCAATAGCGGGAATTCTCCAACTTGGTTCCACGAATATCGAATTCTGCTAACAAGGAACCTATGATCTTCTGACTTTCTGCGTCTGCAGCCCAGAGAATGTCATCTACATTTGTTCCGAACATTCAGGTAATTTCATTCTTGGCATTATGCGCACTGAATAAAGCCGACAAAATACAGTTCTCTCTGAATCCGCGAGCTCCGAACCTCTCGCGGTTTTCCCCCAGAGACCGCCGCCCGCGTCACGCGCGCCCTAGACGGGCATGCGCGCGATAAGAGCTCCCCCACCAGGTACTCCCTCGAGTCCGTCGGGAGGTGGCTTGAGCAGCACGAGGCGATCAATTCCTGCCCCTGGAAGTAGGCAGATGCGATGACCGCGCACTTCAGCGTCTTCCGTGTTCCTGCGGCCCACGACACAATTAACCTTAGGCCCTCAAGCGCACATGTTGGCGAATCCGCACGCATACTCAGCGATTAATCTAAGTCTCCTCGCACGACGAGTCTGCTCTTGCACTGCGGCGAAACCAGCGGTCTTCCCGGCCTGCGGAGGTGTTCATGCTTAACAATATAAATCCATTGCGTTGGTACCACGCGATATCATTCGTCAAGGTGCTTATGTTGCTACACGGGGTCTATAGGCACGGCAGCATTAAAATTCCGTTGTTTCCCCATTCATCCTGTCTGGCAACCCTAATCCACTCTTAATGTCTTTCAAATTCACGATGGTACACCAGGTTGTTGGCATTTCCCAGCTTCTTTTTCGATTGCGTCTTGTTGATTGCACGCCCATGAAAGAATCCAACAAGTGGTTCACGTGGCTTCACTGCCATCGAAGCTTGTCTGCTCACGAGAAGATTCATACTGGGTCCCGATGCGCCCGCTCGTTGCATGGCTTCGAACAGCGGGCTCGCCGCTTCGGGGTCCGACTCTGACATAGAATCGGATGTTATTCCCGTTGTGCCTTTTCCATGATCTACTCTCCTGCGTATCACTCCACTACGACTTTGCATACCATGAGGAACATCATCCATCAGTGATCTCTGCAGAGGTGCTCTGGCCACCTGATGGCCCCGGCGCTGGCGGCGGAACAAGAGCGACCATTGCGTCTTCATGGTAATCGTCTTCTTCCGTGTGGCGAAATGCTCCCTCGAAAACCTCAGGATCCTCGGCGATTCCCGGTAGCATGCTATGCAACTAGCGGTGGTTATGCAACTGGCTGTTCGGCTGGCTGAGGTTCTTGCTGATTTCGACGCTTGTCAACGAAGGACTGATGTTGACCGTCTGGGGGCGAAGACCTTTCGACTCCTCCGTCATGATGTCTAGAGAAGTACTGATACACCAATCCTTCCGCCGCTGTGCACGGACGAAGCCTATCGATAGCTACACAAACGGGTACGCCTTCGGTGGTTACCCATGCGTTTTTGCAATCTAAACCCACGAACGATCCGCGATCCGGTGCTCCACTTGGCGGCGACCTCGCCGTCTGTCGGCCCTTTGAGAAATCATACTACGTCATCGACCTGGTACTCGCCAGCCAGGCGTAGTTTTTCCTGAGAGCGGCTCGCGCGGCCCCACTCCCGACGTCGCGCTCTGCGAGCGCTTTTCTAGCCGAGGCGCGGATCGCAGCTTGCCCGGAAAACTCGTCAGCTCCGTCGTCGGCGACGTTTGCTAATACACCTAGGTCGAACGCTTCACGGTCGTCAAACTGACTTCCAGGCGCGCGGGGCATTCGTCCGAGCACCCACTGAGCAGGCGCGAAGCCACCCACTCGTGACATCACGTTCATAGCGTCATCAACTTCCGACGCTGTCGAGATAACCTCGTCAAGACCGACGACATTTCATCATGCGCGACCTTCTTGAATGTGTTCTTCCAGAATCCCCCGCGGCTCAATGCGGCCGATCTGCTCTGGCGATTCGACTCCGGCGCCACGGAGGGCCCCTTGACTCTTAACCCATTGCAAAAATACGCCTCGGTTGTGCATCCCACGAGACAAAACCATTATCTTTGGTGTGCCTGCCCACGCACGCCAGCGCTGTTGGAGTGCTGTGAGACATGCTCGAGAAGATGGCGTTCCACCCGCTTGTCCGACAAATATGACGCGCTGAAGCGTGGCCCCCTGGCGCGCGACGTTCAAGAAGGTATAGGTTTGTCCGATGTTGTCTCTTACCTCCAGACAGTCGATGCCAATTTCATGATTGAAGCAGAATCTCATGGGTAGAGCTACCTTGTGCGTCTGAGCAAACGGCTGATGGTGTTCACAAATTTCACATCTGCAATTCTTAGCAGCTTCAACCCACTTAGAAGACGCTCTGGGGATCCGCAACAGTTTGATCAGAACACGGTTCGGCACATGCCCGAATTGCCCATGAAGTCGCCTGATCGTGATCCTCGTGCGGAAAGAAAGGGATATTTAACCGTGCTTTCCTTCTGGCCCCCTAGAGCTTCGTATCTCCCGGGGGGGTAATGTGCTCCAAGATGTGTTGCTATTCGGCACTGGCGACGTCGCCATCATCGATGATCGC